GCCCCACCATGTAAATCATCGGGACTTCTTTTAAGTAAACATGGCTAGAAGGAAATCAGTGCCGCCTTCCAAGTTATAGAACCAACAAGACTTTAGTACTAGTCCCGAGTCGTAGGGTTGCCAAGCTCCCACCGGAACCTGGAGATCTCCCGGAATCACAACAACTAATGTCCAGAGGACAGAGATCAGCTCCCCTGGAGAACGTGGCAGCGCCATAAGGTGGACCCTGGGCCATGCCATCACACCCCCTGCAGGCAGAGCGCCCTGCCCAGTCTGTTCCCCCCACATGACCCCCAGGAAGGAATGTCTCCGCCTGGGGCGGCCACCCGACGTAGTCATTTAGCAAGCCGGGTTTCCCGGACGCTCTCTGGCACGCCTCTTTTCCTCTTCCCCGGCCACTGCGGGTGGGAGAGGGCGGGGAAAAGAGGGTCCCCAGTTTCCCCTCCTCCTTTCCCAACCATGCAGGAACTGTTTTCTGTAACGCCCCCCCCCTTCTCTGTTTCTGTTCTCCTTTTCTCTCCCGCCCCTGCATTTCATAGCCCCCCCTACACACACACCTCCCGAGAAATGTGGGTGGAAGCGGCCTAGGGTTGCCAGCTTCCAGGTGGGACCTGGGAATCCCCCGGAATGACAGCTCATCTCCAGGGGTGGTGACAGAGATCAGTTCCCCTGGAGAAGATGGGTGCTTTGGAGGGTGGGGTCCAGTGTTCCCTCTAAGCTGTGGAGTCCTGTGAGCAGAAACTCTACTTTGTGAGCAACTGGCATTAAAGCTGTGAGTGAGCGATTTGGCTGCTGCATACATTAGTTTGCTCTGGAGCCCCATCCCACCTGAGCTCAGACAAAAATGTGTGAGCCAGAGGCTAAGAAACTGTGAGCTAGCTCACACTAACTCAGTTTAGAGGGAACACTGGTGGGGTCTATGGCATTGCACCCCACTGAGATCCTCGTCCTCCCCAGGCCCTACCCCTAAATCTCCAGGAGTTTCCCCACCTGGATCTGGCAACCCTACCCCCACCCCATCCCCTGCTGGTGGCCAGGAAGGGACTTGGCAACCCTACATTTCTGCAACATTGGAGGTGCCTTGCTGGATCAGACCAGTGGCCTATCCAGTCCAGCATCCTGTGTCTCAGGTAGTGGCCAACAAGTGGGACAAAGAGGCCTCTGATGTTGCCAGCCTGATCTCAGACGCCAAGTAGGGTCATTCCTGGCCCTGGTTAGTAGTTAGTTGGGTGGGAGACCACCAAGGATGTCCAGGGTGTATGCTAGGCAGAGGCAGACAATGACTAACCCCCTCTGTCAGTCTCTTGCTTTGAAAACCCTATGGGCCGTGACTCAAGGGTGATTTCCACCACCAGCACCCTGATGTTGCCTCCCAGCACTGGGTTTCAGAGATGTGTGGCTGCTGAGTGTGGAGGTTGCCACTGAATCTTTTCTAAAGCCTTCTGTGCTAACCACCATCATTGTATCTGCTAGTGAGGATTCTGGTCAGTTTAAGGGAGGAATTCCTCACTGGGAGGAATTCAGCAGCACAGCATGCTTTTGCTTACAGCAGGTCCTGTGTTCGAACCCTGGCTTGTCCTGCTTAAAGCAAAAGATTGATGACGGCAGGGTTGGGAAAGACCTTCTGAACTTGGAGAGCCATTGGCAGTCAGAGTAGACAATATGGGATTAGATCGGCTGATTTTATATAACGCAGCATCTCTGTCAGTGCTGATCAAGGCACCTGGGTGTTGTCGGGTGCTTGGTATCAGCCACATTCCAGAAGGTTTAAAAAAGGATGCTTGTTTCCTCCCAGATTCAAATTTCAGCCCTGACTTAATTGGCATCTTGTGTAAGAATTACCATGTGAGTTCTTTTCTTGTAAGAGATTCTCTGCAAGAAAATAACTGGTTAGTGTAGTATCTCAGAGACTGAGCAATGAATTCTAAAAGTTCTTGGTTAGGCAAGAGACACTCTCAGCTTTCCGCCTCATCCTTTAAAAGATGAAGGCAGTACTGACCTCCCTTTCAAGATGGGTTGTGTGGAAGAAGGAGATACTATGTGTGAAGACCCTGGAATAATATTTTGCATTTAAATTAGTGCTTCAAAGAGTTCAAAGTACTTCTGGACTGCCTGCCTATTTTGCCAGCAGTTAGGCTTAGTGAATGTTATGAAAGTTTTTGAAAGGCTGAGATTGATGATGAGCCGCATTGATTAGTTGAGGATTCTTGAGCAAATATCTTTTTTATAGAGAGATAAGTTGGGGGGGTGTATAGAGAGGAAGAAATACCCTTATTTATTTATTAAATTTCTAGAAGCCCTCCCCTGTAAAGAACAGCAGTGTACAGTGATAAAAACATTCATAGGAAAAATGCACAGTTTGAATACAATAAAATACAGCCATTGGCCTAGATAGATGATGCTAAGTGTCTGACTGTGCTGCTGCTCCATTAGGGGGAGGGAACAGGAGTGCCAGACAGATGGAAACCATCACTGCCCTCAACCAAATGCCTGGTGGAACATCTCTGCCTTACAGGCCCCGTGGAACTGCAATAAGTCCCGCAGGGTCTGGATGTTATTTGGCATAGAGTTCCACCAGGTTGGAGCCAGGGCTCTGGTCAAGGACGGATATCTCTTGGGCCAGGGACCACCATTAAGTTCTTATCTGCAGAGCGCAATGCTCTTCGGGGGGGTATGCCAGGAGAGTGTATTATAAAACCTGGTGTATTGTTCATCGAGATAGAGGAACGGTGTGTTTGATCTCCTTTGAGTAACAGAATATTTCACCTGAAGTCACTTTCCTTTTTTTTTTCTTTTATTTAACTGAATCTTTTTCTGCATTTATGTTTAGTTTTTTTGAATGGTACAAGTTTTTATAAACGTTTGTGTGAAGCAAAGAAGAGGAGAGATGGCGTCCACAAGTAATGCATTTGTTTCTTTTACATTTCTCTGGTGCTGGGTCTGTGGCTCTCTCTAGAAGAAAGAATAGGCTGGTCTCAAATGCAAAAACTATTGCTTCTTTTCTGAAGTGATTCAAAGGAGAACGGCAAGCTTTTGGGGCAGGGCTGGGGTGGGTGAACCACAAAACTTGCTGAGGTTCTGTGATCTGAGACAGCGGCATCTGCTGCATGTCACAAATAGGGTACCCCTGTAACAAAAACGGTGAACTCAGTGCATTTAGAAGGATGTAACACTGCTTAGATGAAAAACATAACAAAAACCCTGCTGTATCAGATCGGTAGTCCATCTGCTCCAGCATTCCCCTTCGCACATTGCCCAAACACTTGCCCTGGAGGGCCAACAAACAGGGCGTGGGGGACAAGGCCCTCCCCTGCTGGTGCCTTCCAGCACTGGGTTTCAGAGGTTTACTGCCTCTGGAAGTGGAGGTTACCTTTTATGGACCACTCCTCCATAAGTCTAAGTCCCTTTTAAAGCCATCAGTGCTCATGGCCATCGCAGCACCAGTAATGCCTTTTATTTATTAAGACCAACCAAAACCAAAGCTCTCAGGTTCCCTTGCGATCTTCCATAAAGCCCATCAAAAGATGGACTGTTTGTTAAAGGGTGCTTGCCTGCTAGGAGTTTGGCAGCAGATCCTGGTTGAATCCTAAGAGCATGTTCCTGGGAGTAAGCCCCATGGAACAACATGAGACTTACTTTTGAGAAGACCTGCTCAGGACTGCGCCTCCTATCTCCTGCGTTTTCTTGCTTAGCAGATCAACACCTCATGCTCCAATCACCTGCCTCAATGGCTGCGTTCTCCTTATGCTTCCAGTTGTGATGTTACACTGTATGGTTGGTATAACCTTTGTGATGCTAAAGTCTGTGATCACACCCGAACGTCTAGGCTGTTGATCATACCTTATTTGAAAGAGCTGGGGATAGTTTTTACAAAAGCTGGACAACCTTGAAGTGCAAAGTCTTGAAACCATGAAAGTTTTATATTTAAAGTCACAAGAAATTGCGGAGGAAGCTAATGCTTATGCAGGGACCGCTTTCTCTGTTGCTCTTTTATTTCTGATTCCTTCAAGTGCCTCTTAGGAAGCTTTGGGTCTAGAATGTGCAGTTGTGGCTGACTTTAGCAAGTCCTCTAGTTCCCTCAAATAAGGTGTTTGTGGGCAAAGTATGTTGGTGTGCGGGCCACTCTTCTGCGACTCCTGGCAAGGAGACTACCAGAGTCTGTATTGTTAGACCAGTGCATAACCATGTGCCATTTTGCCTTTTGTTTTCTGGACAAAAGAACAAAAGATGAGCAAAAACAAGGACGATGCGCCCTGTGAATTGGAGAGCCAGTGCATACTCCGACTGCCTCCGGTAAGGGATCCTTATAATAAATACCTTTTAAAACACTGCTTTACTCTGGTGCCAAAGAAGTTCAGCTGGGGTAGCATGATCTAACATTGCCTCTTCCACACACTTGGTCCCTTTCATCGAAGGAATATGCTTCTACTGTACGGAGGGCAGTCCAGTCCGGAAGTGTTGCCCTGAAGGACCGGCTCACCATTGAGTTGCATGGTAAGAGAATGAGAATTTCGATCTTTTGTCTATTTGTCTCCACCTCTTCTAAAGACTTAGGAGCTGCGGTGGCTCAAGTGGTTAAGACGCTGAACTGCAGGCTGTGGAAGGTCAGTAGTTCAGCAGTTCGAGACCCGGGTGCCGCATGACGGAGTGAGCTCCTGTCTCTAGTTCCAGCTCCTGCCAACCTAGCAGTTCGAAAGCAAGAAATTGCAAGTAGATAAATAGGTACCACTTCGGTGGGAAGGTAACAGCGTTCCGTGCGCCTTTGTGTTTAGTCATGCCGGCCACATGACCACGGAAACGTCTTCGGACAGCGCTGGCTCTTCGGCTTTGAAACGGAGATGAGCACCGCAACCCTAGAGTCGGATTCGACTGGCTTTCGAGCGAGGGGACCTTTACCTTTACCTCATATCTCATTGCCAAATTCTGCCGCTCAAGTGCCCACGCTTACGATGACATCCCTGGGCCTCCTTGCCCCACGTTCCGGGGAGCCCATGACTGTTCTACAGGTTGCTTCACTGCTGCTCTAAGCCGGGGAAAGGACAGAAGATGATATTGTAAAGATAATATAGTAATGTGCTTAAAGTGCTGTCAAGTCACATCCAACTTACGCAACCTGTAGGGTTTTCAAGGCAGGAAACAAATAGAAGTGGTTTTGCCATTGCCTGCCTCGGCTTAGCGACCCCGGTCTTCCTTGGTGGCCTCCCATCCAGGTACTCACCAGTATCAACCCTGCGTAGCTGTCAAGATCTGACAAGGTCAGAGTAGCCTGGACTATCCATAATAATAATGATAGTAATTCTGGATGGGTAGCTATTTTAATCTGTGTTAGCACAATTGAACAGGAGTCTGGTAGCATCTTAAACGCTAACAAAGCTAGATTCCAGTGGCACCTTTACGATCAGCAAAGGTTTTATTCAAGGTATGAGCTTGAATGCGTCTCTGTCAATTACTCTTTGCATTCCACAGTTAAGAAGGATGCATTTGCACACCAGTCTCTTATTTTGACATATTGATTTAGAGGAGAAGAGAAGAGATTGGATTTATACCCTCTCCTTCACTACCCAAAGGTGTCTCAGAGCGGCTTACAAACTCCTTTCCCTTCCCCTCCCCACAACAGACACCCTGTGAGGTAGGTGGGGCTGAGAG